CGTCAGGATGTATATCAACAAGTCATTCAGCGACTTTCCCTGTGTGTATTTCTTACTGACGGTTTCTATTGACAGTTTTTCTCAGAATAATCTACCACCTTTGGAAGGAACTGTGCAATTAGCCCTGAGCTAAAATGCTCTCCATCCAATTTACACACAGGGATCCACGGAGACCGCAATATCCAAAATAATTCCTTCGCCCCGCTCAGGGCCACAAAGATATCTCACAGTGATACAAACGCTGCAGACAGAGCTGGAGGTTGTATCATTTCCAATCACAAGTGTCTTTATCCATGGAGTGTGTGATGGCCCACAGGGGCCGTGTTGGATTCTGAAACAGTAGAACAGCTCTCCTTTACATGTAAGATCCTGAGGAGGCGGGCTGAATGCTAGCCGGATAAGAGGCATGTGTGGGTGTGGGGACGTGTACGTATAATAGAGGGGAGTGGTAAAAGAAAAAGGGGTCATCTTAGCATAACTGCTTGGTAGCAGCTTCCAGTGTTCCTTGTTCCTGGGATTGTGTTACCAGTGCTTTCCAGACAGCCAGGGCATGGATATTGAGGGTATTCTTGCTGCCCTTAGGGCTGAGGCCCAGCTGGATCATCTGCAGGGTGCTGCCGTGGTTGCCGCCTCTCCCGCCAGTGGTCACGGCATACCTTGACATCGGGCCTGGCCCCCTGCCCATTTTAGTCCCTCTTGAGGGGGTGGAGCAACGGCCTGCACTTGAAGTCGGACAGCAGGGACAAAATTTGCAAAGGGGAGTTTGTGGAAATTTTTTCCCTCCTACTCCTGGAGGACTTGCTCCCGTCAGATAAAGATGCTAAGGAATTGGATTTTGGCTGTTTTCTATCCCTGCCAGCGTAATTGGGGAAAAGGCACCCGAGAAATGCTCTTCTCTTTTTTGTTACCAGGATCTTATATGTAACATGTGTCGGGTATATGGGGGTATGGGATGGTGGCGGTATGACAAGCAGTTCCAGGATGTGCCCCGTATCGAACTTCCATAGGTATTGTTCCGTTCACCCGCCGTCTATGGGCCCTTTGTTGATCCACGGGGACAGGAGTTATTTGTCCAGGTTTCAATTTATTAGGGTCTTATGGATGGCGCTCGAGCTGCTTGGCATTCCGAGGAAGGAATTTTTGGGTCACTCCTTCCGGATTGGGACAGCAACAGAAGCTTCTCGTTTGGACTTCTCCAAGTAGGCTATCCAGAGGATTGGCAGATGGGAGTCTAGGAGGTTTTGGTCCTATGTGTGCCCAACCAGGCTGATTCAGTTTTCCTCTGTGTTTTCTCCGGAGGGTCCAGCCGACGGGTCTGGTTAGTTGGACATTCCTATGTTTATTGGACCCATCTCTGTGCGTGGGTTCGACCTGGTGGGACTCAACTAGGCCTTTCGACGGAGTTGGCGGATGTCAGATGGTTTGGGACTCGGGGCATGCGATGGGTTCAGCTGCTTCCTGAAATAGTCTAGCTTTCTAGTCTTCTGGAAGCCCTGGACGTGTTGGTCATACACCTTGGGGGCAACGATTTGGGAGCAGTGCCAGTGTGGGGCCTGGGGGGAAGGATTAAGCGTGATCTGGCACATTGTATATATATATTTAAGATATATATATATTTAAAAACATCTAAAATAACATTTGATTTTTTTTTCTTAAAAAAAATTAATAAATAAATGCATATACTTTAGCATTGTGCACGCACGGCAAGAATATTTAGATGTCCAAATTTCAGCCAAATTTTGGTTCAGATTGGCAGAATTTCAAGACCAAAAACTAATTCAGACTGACCATCAGGGCACATAAACAGGCCGAGCAGTGTACTAATATAAACATTCTGTATATATTCTGCAGTACTTTTGTAGGAGAATGTTCTCAGCATTTATTTCACAGATCAAGTGAGAAGTGACCAATTAAAAAAGGAGGTGGACCAGTAAAAATAAATCCATATCTTTATATTATGTATTTGTTATTTTATTTATCTCTCTGTTGGTCACTTTTCACTTGATTTATAAATAATATAAATGCTTAGTGACTGCCCCATCTAACCATCACTTATCTTTTTTACCCATCAATAATCATCTCTTTTTTTTGGCAGCCCAAGTGGGATTCAGAATCACAAACCAAAACAGACATATTCGGTCATTACACGCTTTAGTTGGCTTGTGATTTTTCCCATTGTGACCTGGCGTTTAAGAATTTGACCGATTATCTGATTGGCCCAAATTTGGATGAATTGCAATTCAGACTGAAATTAATCTCCAAGTCTAATATGCATATCGTCATCCATTACTAAACCGTAAGATGGGCATTAAATAAAATATCTGTGTTCATTAATTAAAATACTGTAACAATGAACTGATATACAATGAATAACAAATGTTGCCCGTCCTGGTCGGTAATCCAAAGTTAAATCTTTCTTCATAAGGATAATATATTTTCTGTTACTTAACATGTAAAATGCAGTCGTTTATATTTTTTTGTGAGCTGTGCTATTATACGTCCCGAAGTTATTGTGAAATGATTTTTATGTCACAAGTTTTATGACACTTTCTATCATTTCTATAAAGATCAAAACGCTCCGCACAACACACACAGGCTCTATTTTACAAGGTAAAAATGAAGAGATTTGGTTACGCCACCTGGCCCCTCTGTGCTGGACCCACCACTGCCTCACCTTTTGCAGTATCAAGCCAGTATCAATGGATTGTCGCAGTCCTGTGTGTGTGTAATTTGGGCGTCCAGTGGGTGTTGTATTGGCGGTCCGATTTCTCATACAAATGGCTTGTGAATGCTGTGTGCTGTGAATCTGAGTCTCAGTGGCCCTTTGGGAAACCAGGCAACGCTCTGCCAACGACCAGTAAATCCGTGGCCTGAGAATGTGTATTCATTTCTATTTCTACAGTTTCTGTGCTGGGCGTCTCACTCCTTACAAATCTCCTGTCAGTAACTAAACCGAGATCTGTTGTTTTTCCTCCACTTCCCATTGATTTGTTGAGGGGGTCGTGACAGTTTTTTTATTTTTAATTCCGAACCAAGAGCTGAGCATTCCGACTCTGACAGAATAAACAGGTTTCTCTGAGACTGCCCTGAGCTGATGTCTTTTTCCCTGCAGTTGTCATCAGAGCATCGCTCTCAAACCCTGGCCTCTCAGAATCAGGCCGATCGCTAACATGTTGTCAACACGTTGTTGACCTATTTCATTGATTTTGTTGGCCGTGGAAATCAATCTTCCAGAAAGCTTGCTGCTCATTATTCACTACCTGTCATAATTGGGAGAAATTTCTCTCCTTTCGATGAAGGGAAGCGGGAACCAATAAACTGCTCTCTCCTGCGGGTCACCTAAACTGCTTATTAGGAGTCGGCACAAATGAAGCGATCACTGAGTGGATTTCTGGAAGGTCTCATCACCTGTCACACATTAAAATATAATGCTAATATCTCCTCTTCACCAAATCGTGGCACCGCACCCACACGACAATTCTAGTGCCACTCAATGTCTGCGATGTTAAAATGAATGCCACGGCGTGTCTGTAATATTTATTCTAATGCCACGGCGTGTCTGTAATATTTATTATAATGCTACGGCGTGTCTGTAATATTTATTATGATGCCACGGCGTGTCTGTAATATTTATTCTAATACTACGGTGTGTCTGTAATATTTATTATAATGCCACGGCGTATCTGTAATATTTACTCTAATGCCACGGCTTGTCTGTAATATTTATTATAATCCAACGGCGTGTCTGTAATATTTATTTAATACCATGGCATGTCAATGATATTTATTCTATACCACGGCGTGTCAATGATATTTATTCTTTTTATTCTATACCATGTCGTGTCTGTAATATTTATTCTATACCATGGGATGTCAATGATATTTCTTGGAATGCCTCATCATCCTGTGGTATGAATTGTTAAAGAAAAAATGAAAATCCAGCGCACTCGCTTATCTACTAAACAGCAGAGGCGGCTCTCTAATTAGGCGGTTTAGGCGGCCGCCTAAGGCCTCGCGCCAGCTGGGGCCTCGCGGCCGCCTAAACCGCCTGTGGGCAATCTGTGTCAGGTCCTCGGTCAGTGACCGAGGACCTGACACCAGGAGGGGGCCCGGCGGCTTGCCCGGTATGCCGCCGGGTGCGAGGCCCCTCCTGGCGAGAGACCGCCTGCAACCCCTGGTCTGCAGCTCCGCGCAGTGTGCAGAGCTGCAGACCAAGTGTCTGGCGAGATCTGGCCAATCAGAGCGTTGCCGCGGGTTACCACGGCAACGCTCTGACCGGGTCTCGCGAGACTCTTGGTCTGCAGCTCTGCACACTGCGCGGAGCTGCAGACCAGGAATCACCACCGGACCACCAGGGAAAGAAGCCACTGGACCACCAGGGAAAGAAGCCACTGGACCACCAGGGAAAGAAGCCACTGGACCACCAGGGAAAGAAGCCACTGGACCACCAGGGAAAGAAGCCACCGGACCACCAGGGAAAGAAGCCACCGGACCACCAGGGAAAGAAGCCACTGGACCACCAGGGAAAGAAGCCACTGGACCACCAGGGAAAGAAGCCACTGGACCACCAGGGAAAGAAGCCACTGGACCACCAGGGAAAGAAGCCACTGGACCACCAGGGAAAGAAGAAGCCACCGGACCACCAGGGAAAGAAGCCACTGGACCACCAGGGAAGCCACTGGACCACCAGGGAAAGAAGCCACTGGACCACCAGGGAAAGAAGCCACTGGACCACCAGGGAAAGAAGCCACCGGACCACCAGGGAAAGAAGCCACTGGACCACCAGGGAAAGAAGAAGCCACCGGACCACCAGGGAAAGAAGCCACTGGACCACCAGGGAAAGAAGAAGCCACCGGACCACCAGGGAAAGAAGCCACCGGACCACCAGGGAAAGAAGCCACTGGACCACCAGGGAAAGAAGCCACCGGACCACCAGGGAAAGAAGCCACCGGACCACCAGGGAAAGAAGCCACTGGACCACCAGGGAAAGAAGCCACTGGACCACCAGGGAAAGAAGAAGCCACTGGACCACCAGGGAAAGAAGCCACTGGACCACCAGGAAGAAGCCACTGGACCCACCAAGGGGAAGAGCCACTGGACCACCAGGGAAAGAAGCCTGGACCACCAGGGAAGAAACCTGGACCACCAGGGAAAGCCACTGGACCCGCAGGGGAAGAAATACTGGACCACAGGGAAAGAAGAAAAAGCCACCCGGACCACCAGGGAAAGAAGCCACTGGACCACCAGGGAAAGAAGAAGCCACCGGACCACCAGGGAAAGAAGCCACTGGACCACCAGGGAAAGAAGCCACTGGACCACCAGGGAAAGAAGCCACTGGACCACCAGGGAAAGAAGCCACTGGACCACCAGGGGAAGAAGAAACCACCCGGACCACCAGGAAAGAAGAAGCCACCCGGACCACCAGGAAGAAGCCACGGACCACCAGGGAAGAAGCCACGGACACCAGGGGAAAGAAGCCACCCGGACCACCAGGAAAGAAGCACTGGACCACCAGGGAAAGAAGCCACTGGACCACCAGGAAAGAAGCCGCTGGACCACCAGGAAGAAGAAGCCACCCGGACCACCAGGAAAGAAATACTGGACCACCAGGGAAAGAGAAGAAGCCACCCGGACCACCAGGAAAGAAGCCACCCGGACCACCAGGAAGAAGAAACGGCCGGACACCAGGGAAAGAAGCCACTGGACCACCAGGGAAAGAAGCCACTGGACCACCAGGGAAAGAAGCCACTGGACCACCAGGGAAAGAAGCCACTGGACCACCAGGGAAAGAAGCCACTGGACCACCAGGGAAAGAAGAAGCCACCGGACCACCAGGGAAAGAAGCCACTGGACCACCAGGGAAAGAAGCCACTGGACCACCAGGGAAAGAAGCCACTGGACCACCAGGGAAAGAAGCCACTGGACCACCAGGGAAAGAAGAAGCCACCGGACCACCAGGGAAAGAAGCCACCGGACCACCAGGGAAAGAAGCCACTGGACCACCAGGGAAAGAAGCCACCGGACCACCAGGGAAAGAAGCCACCGGACCACCAGGGAAAGAAGCCACTGGACCACCAGGGAAAGAAGCCACTGGACCACCAGGGAAAGAAGCCACTGGACCACCAGGGAAAGAAGAAGCCACCGGACCACCAGGGAAAGAAGCCACCGGACCACCAGGGAAAGAAGCCACTGGACCACCAGGGAAAGAAGCCACTGGACCACCAGGGAAAGAAGAAGCCACTGGACCACCAGGGAAAGCAGGTATTTAGTACCCCCCTCCATTATACCCCCCTCCCAGTAGCCCCCCTCCCAGTTACCCCCCTCCATTGTAGCCCCCCTCCATTATACCCCCTCCCAGTAACCCCCCTCCATTATGTCCCCCTCCCAGTAACCCCCCTCCATTATGTCCCCCTCCC